GCACACACACACATTCACAAACTTGCCTACTGACTCTTCTGAAGCCCCAAGGCCCTAGGCCTATTCTCCTCTCCCTCTCATTCCACATCACAGCAACACCACCACAGCGTTCCCCACATTCTCTCTTTCTCTCCCACCCCACCCTCTGCCTAACTCCCTCGCCACTACCCGCCCCCAACCACTTGAGTGTGTCTCCTCCTCTAAGCCAATGAATGACCGTATTGTGACTGCCTCTCTCATGCCCCTCGTATCATTCACAAGCCGCAAGGCGGCGCTGGCGGCGTGCCAAGCGTCCCCGACCCCTTCACCTTCATCCGGAGGGGAAGTGACGTCGCGATATTCAAGTACTGTGTCAATGCGCGAATGGTTATTTTTGGAAAACGACGTCATATCAGAGCTTTCTGAATGGTGGATATTTTAAGTTCGCGTCGGCCATATTGCGCATTATGTATTCATGAGCTGTGCCCTATAAGGAAATGATAATGATTATGACGTGATAGGCGGAGCTACGTGACCTACTTGCATTTTGTTGGCTGAGCCAGCGTTGATCGATGGCTTGTAGTGGCGAGGCGAAGGATATAACACACACCGAATGCGAGAAGAAGTTCAGTTGAAGAACTAGATCTCGAGTGTTGAAACGAAGAGCACTAACGTGCCATTGACGAAGAATCGTGAAAAAAAGAAAACGTTTAGTTGTTTGTAAATAACCATAAGTTGTTTTGTTACACATTGTGCCGACAAGCAACTTATTGACTTTCATTCTTACTACAATGTTTCACTCGTGAGGATTATACCGTGTACCTACAGGACTACGAGCCCTTTGTCGAGGCCGTATTGTGTAAAGTTTGTACAGAAAAAGCCACCACTGTGTTAATCTTCGACTTCAACTGTTCATCACGGACGGATATACATCACCTATTCATCTACACACACTGAGGTTTGTTGGAAATATAAACACCATATACAAGGATACATAGAATCTATATATCTCATCATAACCCCCGAAACCGTTAATCCTGGAGCTATTACTAGGATCGTTGTGTTTTTCCCCAGCCTACATTCACATAAAACGGTTGGTCTCATCTCTCGGCACCCCTCATCGGCTAGGACTTGAAATCACCCCCCTTTTTAAAGCTTCCCCAGCCATCTAGAATCTAGATTTCTAGATCTAATTCCCGTTTTTCTTGTTCCCTTGTGTTCAGATGCCTTGCAGAGAATCATTCAACATAATGTCCGCTGACCTTGGCGATTACTGCTGCCCCGACCAACTGAGAGATGAACTTAGCAAAAATCCCAAGTCCCTACTCCTCATTGACTGCCGGTCGCAGTCGGAGTATTCTCGTTCTCATGTCAGAGGTGCTATCAACATCATCCTGCCATCCCTCATGCTCAAGAGACTCAAACGAGGAAACCTCAACATCGCCTCAGTTATTCAAAACAACGAGGCGAAAGAGAAGTTTACAAAGAACTTCAAGACTGCCACCATTGTGTTGTACGACGAGTGTTCCACGGATTTGAACGTTAACCCATCATCAGTCATCAACTTGCTCCTCAAAAAGATGAGACAAGACGGGAGTAGGGCGTCATTTCTTCTTGGTGAGTACCTAATCTAGATCTAGAAATCTAGATAGATCTAGATCTAGATCTAGATCTAGATCTAGTTGATCTGTATGAGATGTTTTCCTTTTCTACTTTAGGGGTTTCTAAAAGTTAAATTGATCATCTTCTTGTCATGTGTTTAAACATGACATTAGGCCTAGATATAGTCTAGATCTAGATCTAGATCTAGAAATCTAGGCCTAATAAATATGACTAGATATCTAGATCTAGATCTAGAATCTAGATATCTAGTCGGAAGAATATGAAAGCTGTGTAAGAAATCTATGAACTTCGAACAAAGATTATTTTAAAAACCGAGGGTGTTTCCACTTAACTAGATCTAGATCTAGTCACTAGTCTACATTTACGTCACTCGGATGGTTACCAATTCTGCCTGGCATATTTTAACATCACAGCTTTGTGCAAATAGTAATAGTATGTCTAGTATAGATTTTGATCTATTGAGAGGTAAGAGAGATTGATTTTCAAGGAGGCGTGCTAAGTGGTGGAATCTTTTTTAAAAAGGGGTTGTTTTGTGAACACGGCTCAGATTTGTCTTTGTTGATGACATCACTGATCAGGTAGATCTACATGGTAAATCTATATATGAGCCTAGTGACTGATCAATTTGTTAATTTCAGTGTAAATTTAGCCTGTTTTAGTGTGTTTTTGTTTTCCTGCAGGCATTTCTGCTGTTTGGTGGCCCCACTTTTGAGTTTACAGAAAAGATGACAAAACTCAGCAGCTCTGCTTTTCTTTTGATCAATAGTCTTTTTGAGATAACATTATAACAAATAGCTGTACAGAGGCGGCAGTTGTAATTATTTATAGATCTATGAAAATAGGGTTAGTGTTCTCAGACAAAATCAGTAGGCAAGTAACAGTGTAAAGGGTAGAAACTAAGCTCACTGGTGTTATTATTGATCCAGGGAGTTGGCATTAGAAACCAAATTGTCAAACATAGAAGGCTGAAGATCGAATTTTGATAATAAAAAACCCAGAGATTTTTAACTCAGATTTTATAGATCTGGAGGGGGAAAAATATCATGGCATGAAATATAATGGATGGGTGTTGTGTAGGAGGGAGTGAGTGTTGTAAAATTTGCGCGTTAAGCATTCTTTGAAAAAAACAACAACAAACAAACCTAGACGACAAACGAAAACGTAAACAAATTGATTATATGTTAAGAAACAAAACAACTTTTTTGTCGCTTGTTACTACTCCAAGCCCTTGTTGGCTCGCTACACTCATTGCGCGCCAGTTCCCATTCTGGTGAGTATTCTCTGTTATCGCGTCTCTCCCCGATCGATGGCCTGGGTGAGTTCTTGGCGCGCGCGTCCTCGCCCATTCATTAGTGGCGTCCTTTCGTCAATGTCACGGTATTGATTAGTGAGCCGGGCTCGACTCCACGTTAGTTTCACAACGCCGAATGTCAATACAAGATAAAACGTTTCCACTAATGCGTTCCCCGGAACCCTGGATAATCGTTTGCGTTGGCTAAGTGGTTATTGGAGCTGATGTGATGGGTTTTTCGGTAGTTTATGAAGGAATGCCTCTATACTAAAAGTTAAACAACGTCATCCAAAAAGTGTATACCCCCCACCACCAGCTTTTCACTTTGTTTCCTACTGATAATATGATTGTCCCTGTACGTCACCTACTGTAAAATTATTTATTATATATTTTATTTTTAAAAATTTTATTCCGTTTTTCTTTTCCAAATCTAGATATATATTCTTTGTTCCCTGGTACCGGTACAAATGAATACTTCTTTTTTAGTTTTCATATTCTGACTTTTTTATTCTTATTTGTTTTCAGGAGGCTTCTCCACTTTCGAGGAACGGTTCCCTGAGTACTGCCAGAGCTTGGACCACGATAACACCAACTCCATCATGGGCCTGTGCAACCTCAGAATTTCCGATGAGCCCACATTCGAGGGAAATACGGGAGGCGACTCGACACTTTCGACGTGCAGCACGTCTAGTCCCATCTCCTGCCCATTCCCTGTTCAAGTTCTCCCCTACCTCTACCTAGGCAGCGCAAAAAACTCAGCAGATCTTGCCCAGTTGCAGAAGTACGGCATTACGTACATTCTCAATGTCACAGCAAACGTTCCGAACATGTTCGAAAATGAACAAGACTTTAAATACCTCCAGATTCCAATCTCTGATCATTGGTCCCAGAACCTCTCATCCTTCTTCCCTCAAGCAATCAGGTTTATTGGTGAGTATTCCGTACACTGTAGCTGTCCTTATGAATGTGTGGGTTGTCCAAGTGGCTCAGGTGTTTTTGTGAGTTCTTGGTGTGTTGTTGAATCATGATTCTTTCAGCGAGTGGTTGGTGGGTGCTCAAGTGTGGTTTGCTCCTTCCTGTCTATCAAAAATCAATTGTTCTTATCTCTTCCTTTTTGTGTTAGTTACTCTCTTGTTACTCTTCCATTCTTCGGCACTTATATGACCTTATTGTGTTGCAGGTGCCTTAAAACACAGAAAAAACAAAAGACCTATTCTGTTTGTATGTTTCTGTTTTGTTATGGATTCTCTATGGACCCTAAGTACCGGCTTAGATATCCTTGACATGTAAAAAGAAATTCAGGGTAGATCTAGTGGGAAGTTTTTAAAAACCATGTTTATAGGTACCCGGTATAGAAATTGTACTGTTGCCCTGTGTTTGTGTTAGCTTGTTACAGTTACAGGCAGTGGCATCAGTGTAGACCTCCCAGGCGTTCGCTACACAACGTAACAACAACGAGAACGAATAAAAGGAAACAACTGACTTCAGTATTTTGTTTTGGCTCAACCGACTTTATTGGAGCCGGCGCGGCG